CATAATATAATGAGATGATATCAGATGTAAACATGTAATGACAATAAATACTAACATTCTCTTAGAAGTGATTATAGATGCTGATGCCTCAGTTCTCCCTTTTGTCATTAGCTATCCTCATCTAAGGTCTCAGTGTATCCTTTCAGAAATAAAGCAGCATACTATCAAAAAAATTTTATTTTAAAAAAGATATACAAACTTTGTAAATAGACTAGTATTTTTAAAAAATTCACAAGAGAAAAATTAGAAGCAACTCTAGAAGCCCTAAACTACAGCATGAACAGATTTCCAAACATAACCAAAAACCTACAATCAGGAGAGAATAAAATAAATGACTCAGACCTTCTAAAAACAAATCCTTATGCACATTGACATTTTTGTCTTTGAATTTATCCACTTTATGGTTTTTTTGTTACAGCATCCACAGGAAAGTAAGACAACTCTACATTCCACTGTGTCCTTTAACCCACAAAACATATTGTTATCAAAACCATTGTAGGGACCACAGAGCTGAGGAGAATGAAGCCACTTCCTTGGCCATACAGGAAGGATAATAGGGAGCTAAAGGCCAGGATTTTATCTGACTGGGGGCTTCTATGAGCAGGCAGGGTGACAGAATAAAGGAGCCATATGGCATATTTGGGAATGATACCAACCAGGAGAGAAACACTGAAATCCTAGTTGTTTTTAGGTACTATCGAGTCAAGTATGATTCATAGTGACCCTACAAACAACAGAGCTCAACCACATCCTAACCTGTGCCATTCTCACAATACTGAGCCCACTGGTGCTGTCATTGTGACAGTCCATCTGGTTGAAGATTTTCCTCTCTTTCACCATCCCTCTACCTGTCTAGCATGATGTTTCTCCCCAAGGAATAGCCTCTCTTAGTAACATGCTCAAAGTTTGTGAGATGAAGCTTCATCATCTTTGCTTCCACAGATCACGCTGGCTGCACCTTCTCCAAGACATACCTGTTTGTTCTTTTGGCAGTCCACAGGATATTTAGTACTCTTCTCTAACACCGCAGCTCAAAGGCACCAATTCTTCTGTAATTTTTAGTCATTGTCCAACTCTCAGCAGCACAGCAAACGATTGATGGATTAGAGATGAGCTGAAAGCAGATGTTGCTGGTGAGGCATGCAAGAGAGAAATAGCAAGTTCCAGAGAGGCATCATTCATCAGGATCTGTTTTTTATAACCTCATCAAATCATAACATCTCTACAGTATGTTTTGTTGTTGCTAGATGCCATCGAGTCAGCTTCAACTCACAACAACCTTATCTGTAACAACAACAGCCAGAAACCCTTCTGTGTCTAAGGATATTGTTGTAGTGACTGTGTCAGGTCATATTGTTGACAACCTTCCACTTATATTCTTTTTTAAAAATTATTATTATTTTTAATTTTTTAAATTCTTTTTTTATTGGGAAAAACATATGGGGGTACAAGGAGGTGAGGGTTGGGGGCAGAAGGGTGAGGATGGGCAGGGATGCAGTTGCAGAGCTGCACAGTTTGGTTGGTGAGAGGAGCAGGTGAAGGAAATTGTGAGGATCCAGTGGGGGTCACATGCTACAGGGGAATGGCAAGCATTTTCCAATGGTAATTAAACCAACTGTCTTATTGATTTGGGAACTGGATGCTGACTCTCTGGCTCCTTCATGCTGAACAGGGGCATAGATGTAAAGGGGGAAAGGGAGGACACTTTATCACCTTACTGGTGGTCTTGGGTTAGAGCTGCTTGCCTTCTTTTTCTGTTAGAAGATATTTTCCTGTCATTTACTCCCCTCTGGACTGCAAAGTGTTTTCCCAGGTGGGTCCAGTGGGGATGGCTGTTTGAACTCAGAGGCTCCATACTCCTTTGCTTCCTTAGCTGTCAGTTGTATTTCCTTTTTGTCGCTGGCACTGGGTTCAGGGTCAATTCTGGAGTAAAACTCAGTGTTAAGGTTACCTATAGGAAAGGGAGCAAACCTAGAGAGAACAAATTTGTGAGTTACAAATAGAAGGGCTTTGGGGGTGTTGCTTTCAGGTTTACTGGGGGAGAGGGTGGCAGAAAGTAGCCTAGATAAAATTCTCTGGATACCCTAGGCATTCTTTTTTTTCCCTCCACCTAGGGGTCAGATGGCACAATCTGGGGACTGAGGAGCTCACCCTGAGAGCTGTGATGGCTCGTGCCAAGCCGAGGGCCGAGGGCCGAGGGCAGCCCGCCCCGGGCAGGGCAACACCCCCCAGGAGCTGGCTGGTACACTCCCCCTCCAATTGCCCCTACCCCAGTCTGGTTCCCTCGTCTGACCGAGGATTATGTGGCCAGGGATAGCGTCTCCAATTCCAGCACCACCACTTTTCCCCCCCCCCCATAAGTGGTCATACTATATTTTGAAGTAGGTGTCACTGCCCTCTCCCTTTATAAATGGTAAAGGGAACCTGAGAGTTGTGAACAGACTCCCCCTAGGTCTAACCATCTTTTGGCAGAAGCATTCAACAGAACAAAATATGTGTTGCATTTAGGTCCTTTTGGGTGTGCTGCCACTGCTAAGTGTCATCAGACTCACAGTGACTTTCAGCAATCCATTGTATAGGTGATCATCTTCTCTGGCCTGTCCAAGGAAACCCAAACCTGCAGGTGACAGGCGAGCATCCCATCTCCCGCCTCCCACGTGGCTCCTCCCACCTCCCACGTGGCTCCTCCCGCACAGGTGGCAGGTGGGGGGGGTGCAAGGCCCTCCTCACCCCCCACCCCCACGCGGGTGCCTGGCTGGTGCACAGCCCCTCTCGTGTGGGCAGCCAGCGGGCGCCCGCTTCCCCCACCACCGCCATCCTGGCTCCAAGAATTCTCCCCAGAACAAGTCCACTTTGTGGCAGTGTGGTGGCTCCACTGCACCAGTCCTGAGGAGGCCTGGTACCCAGCATCCATCTTGGGCGAGGAAAACCATAGGTTCCTGCTGTGAAAGCCTCATGGAGCTGCAGCTGCTGTGTGGTGCTGTGCAGGCTCTGCAGGAGGGGCATGGAGCTGTGAGACTCATCCATTCCTCCTTGGGAATCCTTTAATTCCTTTGTTGAGCCTCGATCGTCACTGAGGACCAGTCATCAACTGTTTAACTGTTCAATTATCAATAAACAGAGGTCTGTAGAAGGCCATAGTGGCCCTCCTCTGAGTGGTCTGCTGCTCCCGCAGCTCACCACATTGATTGTCTCTGCCTCTGCCGCCATCTTGGATCTCCCACTTAAATTCTTATAGTCCTCCTCCAAAGCATGTAAGATGTAGCCTCACCATTCTTACTTCTAAGGTGTGGTCTAGGTGTATTCCTTTCAAGAAAGATTTGTTTGTTACTTGTAAGTCCATGGGACATTCAGCATTATTCACTTCCTAAACAACAAACCTCTGGAAACTCTATGAACTTTGATAAATGTCGATAGTTGTAGAGGGCATCAGGTCTTTTGTTCATAGGGTCACTGTGAGTTGTGCTCAACTTGCAGGCAATCAAAAACAACAACATATCACAAATCAAAGGCATCACTTTACAAACACTTACATACATATGAGATAAATATTTACTTACCAGCAAAAGTGCAACATACATCACCACACCCAGGATAGTCATTCCCTCTGAGGATAGGGAGGAGGCAGACAGAAGTGTAAGAAAAAGAACATATAGGAGAATAATTAGTGCCAATTTTTCTAGTCTGAACTGAGTGATAAATTCACTTGGGGTTCATTATGTTATCTTAAAGTACACTGAATAAAAGAAAGAAAAAATACAGTAAAAGAGCCAGTATAAAATTTGTCTTAATATCTGATTATATTTTTTTATTGTGTGCGTGTAAGGATCAGATAGTTTCTAAAGGATTTAGAAGGCAATAAATGAACACTTAAATACCTACCATAGAACTTAAGAAAGGAAACATTGCAAATAGAGTTGAAGCCCCCTGTGTACCCCTGGACACCTACATGGCCTCATAGTCACCAGAGAACATCATTTTCTGAGTTGGGTTTTTTATTCCCTTGCTTCTTTTTTAAAAAAGAAGTTGTACATGTACCCATAAACAATAGATAGTGGTTTCTGTGTGATTTAAACCTATAGGAACTTATACTGCAATGTTCTTAATAACCTACCTGTAGCTTTATTTACCCAGTACTATGTTTTGGTAGTTCTAGTTCTGTTTCACCTATATAGTATATACTATATGTGCACAGCATGATTTACCCATTTCTTGGTGAAGGACTTCATTTGTTTATAATTTTTTGTTCCAACAAACAATGCTGTCATCAATATTCTTATGCTTATCTCTCTAAGCATATGTGCAAGAGTTTCTCTAGATAATGCTGCATCTCCTGCGTCACTTGTTATTGTTAGCTGCTGTTGAGTCATTTCAGCCTCACAGTGTCTCCATGTATGACAGAAAGAAATATTGCCTGTCTGTGCACCTTCCTCATGGCCTCTGTTGTACTTGGGCCCATAGCTGCAGACACTCTGTCAGGTCATCTCATTGAGGGTCTCCCTCTTTTCTCTCCACGTTTTCTCCCTCCTGTTCCCCTAATTTGCCAATTAAAGTGGATAGCTATCAATTAACATTAACTGGAAGTCATATCTTTACAACATTAAATCTTCTATACTTGAACACTACATGTATTTATTTCTTAGGACTTCTTTAATATTCCATAAAGTTCTAATTTTTAAAAATTTTATCCTGGGTTACTTACAAAGTTCATAAAGTTTGTATACATTGTTTTTCACCTGGATCTTTCCCTTTCCCTTTCCCCACCCCTTCCTTCTCGCTCCACTCATCAAATTGTGTGACCCTGTCTATGATTAAATGCCCCTCCTTCTTGGATCCTCATACTGATTCTACAATAATGGTCTTATACAGCATTTATCTTTTTGAGACTGAGTTACTTTACTTAGTATAATGTTCTCCAGTCCTTCCCATGGTAGATAATAATTTACAAAATCACTGCTCCTGCATGCTGCATAGTATTCCATTGTGTGACTGTACCATAATTTCTCAATCCATTCCATTGCGGTTGGGCATTTGGACTGTTTCCATGAGTTTAATAATTTTCCACACCATCTTTATCCACTAAATGCACTCTCTGTCTTCACTAACAGATGGTAGAGTATTTCCAACTCTCTTGGTCTCTTCTGTAGAAAATGTAGGGTCGTCCTAGATCTTACCTGACCCTCATTTCCTCCTTTATTGTTTAGTAAACTGTCAGCTCTATCCCTCAATAAAAATTCCTTATGTGGATAGAAAATATGACAATGGATGTTGGTAATGTTTGCACAACCATCAATGAGGTTGATTTCATTGTATTACACAAATGAAAAACACTCAATTTCAAATGTTGCATTACCTTTATTTTCACAACAATAAACATGTGTATTTTTAAAAGTCTCTCGACTCTAATCTCTTTTCCATCCTCACAGTCACTGTCTTCTCAATTTCTGAATAGTTCTTTAGCTGATTTCTTGGTTTCCTACCTGGTCTTTTACTCTTCCATTCCCTCTTCTGCACTGCAACAAGCATCATCACTCTAAAACACAAAGCCAATTCTGTTATGTCCTTTCAGCTTCATTAGCATATGTCTCAGTTTCTTCATCTGTGGAAGGTAGTATAGGGGGAGCTGCCTGCCTTAGCAAGGGTGAGTATTCTATCAGTGACACTATTGGGCAATGCTAATTTAGAAAAAAAGCAGATTGGCTTTTGGTTGGTTTTATAGTTGCTCTTAAATACTGTACAAAAAAATTTGACTACTTTTCTTGCCTTCATCTAGGCCAGACATTGCCAGTTCCACATCTCTTGGAACAACACGGCAGCACATTATTTTATTTACTTCACAGAACTGTTGTGATGGTTAAGTGAGATAATGCTTACTGAAACCTGAGCACACATCCCCACATACTATATTTAGTTCATGTTAACAGTTATTAGTAATGAAATGATTTTTGGTTCCGCACCCTCTTCTTAGAGGGATAATTTCCTCCTGTACCAGTCAGATCTGATTTGACGGTACATGCAACACACACACAAAAATAAAATTAAAAAATAAAAAAAAGTGAGGAGGGCTTGAAACACTTGCAGAAGATCAAGGAATACAGCCTTCAGTATGGATTTATCTCAACACCAAGACAGTGTCTCTTTGGAGACTAAGGTCCGCCTGATCGCCTGATACAGGCCATGGTTTTTGCAATCACTTGTTATACATCAGAGAGTTGGACAATGGCTAGGGAGGACAGAAGGAGGATTGACGCCTTTGAGCTGTGGTGCTGGAGAAGAGTATTGAATGTACCATGGACTGCCAAGAAAACAAACAGATTCATGCTAGAGAGGGTTAAACCAGGCTGCTCCTTGGAGGCAAGGATTCTGGGGCTTCGTCTGACATACTTTGGATATGTTGTAAGGAGAGACAGGTCTTTAGAGAGGGACATCATGCTGGGTAGAGTGGAGGGACAGTGCAGGAGGGGAAGACCCTCTATGAGGTGGATTGATTCAGTGACTGGGGTACTCGGGATGGGTTTGTCAGAGGCAATGAGATTGGCACAGGATAGAGCAGGGTTTAGGGCTGTTGTACATAGGGTCGCTATGAGTCGCAAGCGACTCGATGGCACATAACAACAACAACAACCCTCTTCTTGGAGGCAAGGATTCTGGGGCTTCGTCTGACATACTTTGGACATGTTGCCAGGAGGGACGGGTCCTTGGAGAGGGACATGATTCTTGGGAGGGTGGAGGGACAGCGCTAGAGGGGAAGACCCTCTATGAGATGGATTGATTCGGTGACTGGGGTAATAGGAATGGATGTGTCAGAGGCAGTGCGGTTGGCTCAGGATAGAGCAGGGTTTGGGGCTGTTGTGCATAGGGTCTCTATGAGTCGCAAATGACTCGACGGCATATAACAACAACAACAACAACAACAACAACCCTTTTCAAGGTTCCTGACTCTCAAGCAAAGCTTTTCACTCCTGGCTTCAGTCACTTCTTTCTACTCACCTACATCTTGCCCTCCATGATGTTTATTTGTCCCTAGACCAGTCTTCTCTTGCTCGCCATGTATCCCCAAATGCTTACTACTTGACCTAGAATATTTTCCCTTTTATTGTGTTTTACTATTTAAGCTCCAGCCCACAGCCATGCTGTGAAGGCTCGCTCAAATTACACAGGCAAACATAGTGAATAGTTCCTCCCCTATGGTCTCAAGGCCTTGTGCTTATACCTCCTCAGGAGAGCTTGCTTTCATTGGCGCGCCAGCAGGGATGAATTGCCCAGTGCTGATTTTTGTAGTTAACTTTGTGTAAATAATGACAAAAATGGTCAGCCACATACTACAGGTTCAATACTTGTGTGGATTTTGCTCATTTGATAGTTTAATTTTACTTTTTGGGAATGAATGAATGGGAACAATTTTGACCCCATTCTAGGCATTTGCAAGAAGGTTCTTTAGAGCCGGTCTGAGTTATTTTATCTCACTCGATGCTCCTAGCAAAATATTCCCAAATACCGATGCTCCTAGCAAAATATTCCCAAATACCGGAGTGCCCATTTCCCTAAGGAATCAAATCTCATTAAACTAAAGGAAAACAAGGAGTGGGTTACTGGCTTCTTCATAGGTGTCCCTGAGAGGGCGCTGTTCTCAAATCAAACCTCCAGAGGCCAGGACTGGAATCCCAGAGTTCTCCCACTGGACTCAGCACAGCATCCTTTCCCAGGCAGCCGCTGGGTCTTGAGCTGAGCTCCTGCCCACAAACATGGCGACGCCCATCTCAGCTTCTCCTCGCGGACATCCTTGGGTCGCCCGGGCCTTGCCAGTACTCGGGGACTTCCTCTGCGAGCCGGCTTCCTGCACCGCTAGCATTTAAACCTGCGCCTGGGGCTGTAGGTTGCTGCTGTGGATGCTGCGCTGCTTGCACACCGTGCCGCGCCCGCGCCTGCCCGGCCCGAGCCGAGCCTAAGCATCTTGCAGCCGCTTTCTGGAAGAGGACGAGGGGACAAATCGGGGACGCTGTCATCTGGCAGTTTTAATTGCAGGTTTGACTTTAATTTCCGAGACTGCAACCTGTCTTCCTCCCTCCACACATACTAGTTTTCTGCCCTCGGGTCTTGGGAACTGGATGAAGAAGGGCTTCGACTCAGGACCAGAGGGCGAGCTCGCTCCAGGGCTCGCTCTGTCGCTCTAGGGACCCCAAGCGACGCGCCCGGGCCATGATGCGGTTGATCCTCGCGCTCCGGTGAGGCGGAGGCGCGACTGCTAGCCTGGTGGGCCGGCTCTGCGTGTACCTTCCCGGGGACGGTGAGGATCAGGGGCCCCGCTCCTTTCTGCTGGGACTGCACGGTGGATAGCGGCGGCTGCGATGTTCAGCTGGCTGGGTACCGACGATCGCCGGAGGAAAGACCCCGAGGTCTTCCAGACGGTGAGCGAGGGGCTTAAGAAACTCTACAAGACCAAGCTGCTGCCTCTGGAGGAACATTACCGCTTCCATGAGTTTCACTCTCCAGCCCTGGAGGATGCTGACTTCGACAACAAGCCCATGGTCCTCCTGGTGGGCCAGTACTCCACTGGGAAGACCACCTTCATCAGGTGAGTGGGCCCAAGAGAACCAGCAACTTCACCTCACCCCTACTGTCCACTACTTTCCCCTACGTTAATAAACTCTGGTGCCCCGCTTCTGCATGTGAACAAGCAGAATCTTCAGTTAAGAGTTCTAGGGGTAAAAAAAAAAAAAAAGAGTTCTAGGGGTGGGGAAAATCCTTATGTCTGTGTCAAATATTATCCTACAATTTCTTGACTAGTCCTCTTCCCTCATCTTTACGCTGTCACTCCACTGTATTTCGCCCTTGGCTCCAGTAGTCAAATATAAATGTTCTACACCTCCCTATTCTGCCCATTTATGGATGGGGATACTGAAGTCCAGAAGGCCCAAGAGGAAGAACTCCTGGTCTTGTAAGCTGGTGGGAGTGGTATTCAGCCTCGCTGTTTTTTGATGGAGTCTCTATCCCAAGCCAGGGACATCAACTTCCCACCCTCAGCCAATTCCCAAGAGCTCAGCCTCAGAGACTTTTCCAGCTACACTTGAGGTGTTCTTGGGGGAGAAGGCTTGGGAATGGATGTGGGCTGGGACCCTGGGCTTCCTGCATGGTGCTGCCACTTGCCCTTCTGTCATCTCCTTTCGAGGGACAGAGCTCCTACTGTGTAGAGACTGGGCAGTAGCAGGATCCTTTTACTTTTTCCTTGCTTGATCTTAATGCGTCAATAAACATATTAAAGACTTTTTGAACGAGAAATTACTTTCAGAAGGACCATTACCTCATCCGGCCCTGGTTTTGCAAGTCAGATAGAGAGGGGAGGTGTATTGTCCAAATCTTTGTAACTAGATAAGAGACATACTTGGATACAGGCCCTGAATATATATGAGGAGATGCTTGGCTAAATGCCTGTGACTTTGGTGGTGAGTCATCCATTTCCATTAAATACAGAAGAGATCCCTAAGAAGTCATTATGTCCATTTACAGTTAGAGAGGTGCATATATGGTATGTTGCACTGCTTACCGAAAGGCTGAGAGTCTCTGGTGTTTCGATTCCACCAACCACTCAAAGGTAGAAACATGGGCAGACTGCTCCCCTTAAGATTTGCAGCGTTGGAAACTGGGTGATGGGTTGCTATGAGTCGGAACCACCTGGATGAGTATATTATCTATCAGGGTGATCTGAACCTTCATGTGGCTTCTCTCCCCAGTCCTCAGCACAGACAGCCACCAAGGATAAGCCATCTCCCTTGGCCTCATTTACAGCCATTGCCAAGTTACTGAATTACAGGCTCTCTCTGTGTTGAGAATGTGATTCTATGGTGAGAAGGAGTTCAGTGGCCCACCCACTTCAAGGTACTCTTCACCTGCAGAAGATATCAAATTGAGAGTTCTCCCCTTCCATTCAATGTATATTTGAGTTCTTACCACATGCAAAATACCAGGCTTAGTTTGGTGAAAACAGTCAAAAAGTTTGAGGTCTGGGAAGGTACTCATTTTCTCTAAAGCTAAGTTCATAACACTAGTCTTTTGAGCAAGTAGTGTCATGTCCAAACAGCGCACCAGATAGAGATTCTTGTGGAGCTGGCAGCTTTGGGCTCACCAGTTTTGGGAGTAAAAGTTGTTTCTGAAGAAGTGCAAAATTGAGAATCTACAGGACAGTAGGCCTGTTGGCTTTTGAATAGTTTAGATTGGTCTTAAGTTTTAATCCATGGGCTCTTAATTTTTGCAGTCCATTCATTCTTGACATTTTGGTCAGGATCTTATTTGAAAATCTGATGAAACTATCTTTAGAAAAGTGCACATACACCCCAATCTGCATGCAATTTAGGGCATACAAGATTTCTCCTGGGATCTTAAAGTGCAAATTAATCCATGTCCTTTATATTATTAAAGACTAATTTAAAGGTAATTCAGAGTCACCTAAACCCTCTACAAGGCTTTCTTTGTAATCTCTGTCATCTACCTGGTCTGCATTATATTCCACAGACATTACAAACCATTTCTAAATTGCCCTTCCCTGGCTCTCTGGACATACCTACCTTGTAACTCTGAGCACTTTTTTTTTTGGCTTGCCTCCTTCCTAGAACAGGAGCATGTATAAGGCAGCCATCTTACTTAACATCTCTGGGGCCTAGCCCCAGATCTCACCTAGAGGAGGTTTCCAGCAGATATTTGAAGAATACAAAGGATCAAGAGGAGAGCAATGACCCTGAGGGGTGATCCTCAAGCAAGTTTAAATGCCTTTTGTCTGAGACATTCTCTCCTGGCTTTGCCTGAGTTATCTCAGACTGTTAACTATATCTAAGAAAATGCATTTAAGTTGCCACTGATTATCCCTTATCTAAGAGAGACAGGAAGGCCAGTGGAGACAGATACCTTTTCTTTCTCTTAAGGCTGTTCCCACCCACAGTCACTGACCTATGTCAATAACTGGATTAAGCTTGTGTATAAAAACCTGCCTTCCCCTGGGGGAATACAGGAAGTAGAACCCTCCAGACCCTAATTACATCTTTTCCTTCTCATTAAATCCAATGACCAGTTATTTGATTTTTTTTTTCTTCAAGTTGCAACATATAAAAAAGAATACATTTGAAGAAGGAAAAATCATTCATAGTCCCATGACTCAGAGAAAACCTTTATACATGTGTGTATCTTCCCAGGAGTTCTTGAGTGGTGCAGATGGCTAAGTACTTAACTTCTAACTCAAAGTTTGGTGGTTCCAACTCATTCAGAGGCTCCTTAAAAGGCAAGTTTCTTGATCTGAAAGGTCACCTTGAAAACTCTGGCACAGGTTAATTCTACCTTTGAGTCAGAATCCACTCGATAGCTAAAATGAGCATAATTCTTCAGCTGTTTTTGGTTTGGTGTTTTTAATTGGTTTGCTGACAAAGTTCACATATATTGGTGTTTCAGACTATTCTTCATTCACATTTTGTTTCATACAATCATTATCATGCTGCATTATGTTTTACAAGATTGGACCTTAGCAGCTGTTTTATAACACAGTTGAGAACATACCATCTCTATCATTTTGTGTGCTGATTTTTTTTTACTGAGATTATGAGTATTTCCCATAGAATCTGCACATTTTTAAAACATTTTTAACAGCTTTATATTTCATCCTGTATATATGCAATGATTCATTTCCTCAACCTTTTTACTTGGAATACTTGAGATTGTTTCTAATTCTGGGCTATTTTATAATTATTCTGGATTTGTCTGAGTATATAATATTGTCTCATTTATTGGACTGTTATGCTCTTAGGGATTCCCAGAAGTTAAAGTTATTATACAGAGGGGTTTTTGTTTGTTTGTTTATTTTTTCAAGTAGTCATGTATTCCAATTACTTTCCAAAAGGGTGAATTGAGAGAGAACCGCCTTTCCCCCTTCCTACCAGAGCAGCGGTGTGGGCTGAGGTCTCTGCAGTTTCTATCCCCTCTCCTGTCCTGCTTCCTGCCTTGCGTGCAGCAATGCCCAGCCTCTCACAGGTTCAGACCTTTCCCTCAGAAGCAGATTTACTTCTCCCGCTGTCCCTCGGCCTCCTGAGTGTCCCATCCACCTTCTGTTTTATATGCTTACCACAGGATCTGTTTTCTCTCAGGAAAAGCATAAAGAAAAGGACATTTTTCTAATAACTAATTAATGTGCTGTGATCTCTGCCTGAAATAACTTCCCTGGCCTACGGCCCGGCAACCCAGAGTAATAAAATAAACAATAAATTGGCCTGGTGGCTGCTCTTCCCCACACAAGCTGCCTCTTTGGAGTACAGTAGCTCTGTGTCCCTCTGGCCCTGGCAGCCTTTCCTCCTGCCTCTGCTGTTTTTCTCCCTCACTATTTCTCTCTGGCATCTGGCCTTGAACCTCTCCTCTCTTGGACCATTTGGCTCCCTGGTTACTCCTCCTTGCTGCCCACTTTCCGTGGCACCTCTATTCAGGGGGCAGCAGAGCTGGACAGCTGACTGCCCCAGAGGTTGAGAGAGTATGAGTAGTGCGAGTATTCTCACGCCATGGACCACACCTTCTTGAAGACATGTTATTATCCCCATGCTGACCACGGCAGAGTTGAGGTGGTGCACCCCGGGTGTGGGGCCTATGGCTGGCAGAGCTGAGCTCCACAGTAAAGTCTGAGCTGGTCTGCAGGGTCACATGGGTCTTTTACAGTATAACTTGTACCCTCAAACATATGTGAGACTGCTAGGGGTGAGGGGTTAGAGGGGTACTTCACTCATCAGGCTGTTAAGCTGACATTTTTCAGTTGCCACTACTTTGTCAAGGGCTCTTTGCACCCTTTCTCAGTGATGGCTAAGCATCTCCCCATGGCTGAACCATTTTTCATCAACCTCTGACATCCCTCTCCCAATGCCTTGGGTTGTGTGGCATTTGCCACCCTGAAAAAGATGGTTTTCTGGAAAGCCAAAGGACCAGAAAGAATGGACACTATTCCTGATGGACTACTGCCCTCTGCATGACCTACCCTGCCAACTGTCCTCCCCACCACGCCTCAGTGCTTGTCCATCTCTCAGGTCAATGAGCATCTTTATCTGTCAGGCCCAGCTCTGCTGGATCACCAGATGAATTCACTCACCTCTCATATGTTATTTTTGTTATTAGGTGCCGTCAAATAGAGTACGACCTGTAGTGATGCTATGAACAAAAGTTCTGAACCCTGTCCTATCCTGTGACATCCACACACTTCCTGACACACTAGAGCCCATTGCGCCAGTCACTGTGTCAATCCACCTGGTTGTCAATCCACCTCTCACATGACTTGAGTGTTATTCAAGAGAGCAGAAGGCCCGGCACCGAGGAACTGCACTCCTGTCTCAGTTTCACACTAGGATCGGCTTTGACTGTTAGGTGCTGGGAATTCATCATAAAGAAGCAGTTCATAGGAGAAAGGGCTCACTCTCATTTCCACTGCTGGTGGGGAAGGGCCATCACAGGAACCTGGGCTGGGTCAGGAAGTGCAGGTTCTATGACTTCCTTACCAGCTGTCTTAGTGATCTAGAGCTAGTATGACAGGAGTACCAGAAATGGCTTTAATAAACTGAG